CAGCAGGCCCTCCTTTAACCCTCCATTAAATGGAGCTTTACCTACTAACTATGTAACAGGCTGACAGATTAAACCTGCATCTGTTAAGTGTCCATCTATGCCCAGATGAATAAAGAGCAGAGGAAAACTGCTCAGCTACTGTTATATAAGAATTCTTTAAATGCATTTGTGGAGAAACATTAATATTCTGCTGAAATACACACACACTTCTCTATGATTTCTATAACAAGGTGCATCATTTTTATCCAGCCCTCATGCCTCCTCTGGTCCTGCCCTCATCACTCGATGTACCATGCAGAATCACAGGTGAAAGGAGTCAGTCCCAGAACCCTCCCCTCCAGAGAGCAGAATGGCACAGAGCATGCACGCTCTCTGAACAGTCTTCCAAACCGAGTCTGAGCTCTCAGACTGGACTGCAGACGTTTGATTGCGCTGTGCAGAAACACTGAATAAAGTTTTCCCCACAGCTGAAAAGAAAGTAACCAGAGTAATACCCAGCAAATTAAAACACAGCTAATAAAAAAAGCAGAGAAAGCAGAAACAAACCATATGCTGATTGGAAGAAAGTGTTGCCAGCAGCAGATGAAAGCAAGGGACACGAGAAGGGGAAAAAAAAACAACAGAAAGAAACCAGTGATTAGTATGTTAATAATACTGTTACTTATCTAAACACACACTATATTACCAGGAAACAGACCTTCAACTAAATACACTGGATTTTAATAAACACAACACTCTAGTTAGATAACTCACTTCTTTAAACGGGGTGAAATTTATTCATCATTGTGGGCACTTTTGTTATAACCTTTTCTCCAAGGCATTTGTCCTTGTGGGTGGTAATGCAGATAGTACATTATATTAACAAAAACAGTTTGATTGCTTCTTTAAGTACAGTTATGCCTCTTTGTATAATTTGTTGCCTAAGCCTTTTACTGAGTACATACCATTTATAATCAGAGTAACTGCCACCCATTCCGAGTTAAATGCTGCAGGTTGATTAATAAGCAGCTAAGATGAATGCTTTCAAAAGTAGGCATCCAAGGTAGACACCTAGACACAAGTGGCCAGATTTTCTGAGATAGCAAACACCACAATTCTTCAGAACTGACAAACCAATCTT